GCAATTTAGGAGTTATATATATATATATATATAAAAACTAAAAGCTTTAATTAATTTATGCCTATGCTTAAGTTAGCAACATTTTAACAGATTACTACTTGTCATTTAAAACAATTCCAAGCAAAACCAGTTCATATCAAGTACTCTGAGTAGATGACTAGGTGGCACAGTTGGTTAATGAACTGACATTTTCATTTTAGAAAAAAGATGTGGATTAAACAATGAATCAAGTCCAAAATTAAGGACACATGACAAACTTACCCCGAACAGCTTTGATTACTGTCCATAGTTTTAATTACCTCATAATTTACCACAGATAATATTCTAAATTTACAAAAAGTGAAGACAATGTGCTGCGGAGCAGGACAGTAAGACTGCTTGTAAACAGGCAGAAAATCAATCATAGTTTCCTTCTCCACATGAATAGAATCATACATTTGTATAGACACTATATTTTATACATGGAAGATGAAAGACTGAGAAGAGACAGCAGTAAGAAAAGAAGCATGTAGCAAGCAAGCATAACTGTTCATGACTACTGCTATTTATCCACACTTTACAAAAACTATTAATTGAAGTAATCATACAAGATAGTTTTCTACTTTCGACTACAGAAAAAAACCAACAGAACAGGTTCAGAGTGTGATAGCTGCTACTGTACAGTATGAAATCCACATTCTTCTATGAGATGCATAATTATGTTTGCTTGTCTTTACAGGATTGTAGGAGAAGAATCAAACTTTCATATTCTTACTGCATTGGTAATGGAAAAAAAAATACTACTAGAATGAAATCTGTAACTTCATTTAAACAAAATGTTTGTAATTCAATTTATTCTTTATAAGCAGAAAGCCAAAGCAGTCATTCCTCCTACCTAAAGCTCATTGGGTATAAATATAGTTATAGCTTTAGGGTTTTTCATATGCATTTTAAGAGATACTTACTGGTCTAACAGTTGATCATATTTTCTTAAAGCATCCTTTTCAGCAATAACTGCTCTTTCTTTTTCAGCGACAGCATTATCTCTCGCTTCTCTCAGATTTCTGAAGGAAACAAAAGTTATTCTGTCAAGAATCCATTAGGAAAGAGACTGTTTTGCTTCATGAATTACTACTGACTGATCTTAACTTCAATACTACCTTCTTCAATTTTCATTGAATGGTAGGGGGGGGTCTGTCTATCTATATACCTATTCATTACAGAGACTTTACTTCAGATTACTTTCATATATACCAGCAAAGTTTCCAGTTCTGAAATGCTAAAAACAAGGATCGAACTGCCTATTTCTATGTAGAAATATATGAATAATTCTAGAATACTAGAACTCTAAATTACTTTTTTTGGTAGGAATTAAATAAATGCCAATAATTTTTCTTGGTACTTCACTAAACTAGGGGAATGCTGCCCTCCTTGCTGAGATGATTCACAAGTTTTATGATAGAGCAGGAAAAGATTAGCTAGGCATAGAAATCCTACTTCCACATACAACTAATTGGCTAGTTAGTCTGATATATAGGTTACTGCATATCATTGGTGTCTCCTTCTGGCTTCTATTGCTGGCATCATTTTTGATCTGCAGATAACCGTAAAAAAACACAAACATTTTATTGCAATCAATCTACACTTTTTCATTTTTTTTAACCAAGAATTAGTCAAGACTTGCAAACTATCTCATTCTTATTTCACTGACACAAATGAGAATAGTATCATATGAAGAATAATATGTATAGTATTTGTGTTAAAAATATGATACAGGTATTAATAGTCTGTTAATCTGTAGTCTGCCTGTAGCATACCATTGCAATAAACTGTACTAAGTGGAAGTACTGCTTAGACAGTGCTTGTAAGCTGTATCTCCGTTATTTAGGGCAACACAGTAACAGCCAATTTGCAGAACAAACAGTGGTTGTTGAGGACCAGACATCTACGTTATGACCATTTTTGAGGATTTTACTTTCAGCTGCTTCTGGTTTGCTCCTGTGACCTGAACACCCACTAGCATTTGGAATATATTAGATGATCTTACAGACTTTTTTCAGTTTCGTTTCATCTAAAAGGAATCCTGTTCATGCACTACAAATGCGAGCACAATACCGCAAATTCAAGCACAAACTGTGAGGCAAGCAAAAACATGGCAAGCAGGATTGACTGGGGGGGTTTCACTTCAAAACCACATTCTTCATCTGAATGAAACTGTTAATCTAGATGCAACCAAGCTCTTCCCACTTAAGTTGTTTCTTCCCCCCTCCCCCACAGGAACTTTTTGACTTAAAGCAAAGTGAAATTACAGTCTCAGGCAAGTTTTGAAGAAAAAAGTCAAGATACAGAGGTAAATGGAAAAATTATCAAGCCCATGTAAATGTTATCCTAGGTCATTTTAGCCACGCTAAAGGTATAAATTTTTTGGATGAAAGACTATTTTCTAGACTAAGGAAATGTTATCAGTGGTACTTTTCTGAACTCAAAGTAATTCATATGATTAGGAAATAGTTACTTACGAAGAATCAACATCAGAATTATGTAACAGTTAACTGGTTATAAGACAAAGATAACAAAATTTTCTTGAAAAATTGAGTTACTGGGCTACAGCATTTACCAATGAAATTCAGGGACTGATCTTGAGAGCAGATTCTTTAAAACTGACTCATACCAAAATATAAGAACATGATAATTAATTTTGTTAACAGCATTAAGATCAAGCATATTATGTCTCAGAGTAGGAGTGCAATGCTGTGTCCTTAAAACTAGAGTAACAGGAGTGGGTTCAAAATTAAATGGTAGGAGATACACAGTGACTTGTTTAGACATTAAACTATTTTGCTTAACTGAATAGCTAATCAATTGAAAATGCAACAGAAGTAAAAAGGACACAAGGTAGGTACTACTCAACCAACAAGGTGACCATCACAGATGTGATGCAACTTCTGCTGACATATTTTCAACAGAGCTAGGAAACACACTAGCAATACTGCCAGTTTTCAGATAGCGTGATTGCAATTTTGAAAGAGGTAAAGCACCTATCTGATGGCTGCACATACAGGCCATATGGACCATCAGGTATCTAGCAAGCCTGTCAATATAAGTGAAAGCACCCTTCTAAAATGGGACAGAAATACTACCTACAGATTCATGAACCAGTATGAGGGGAAAAAAAAATGTGGGGTGAGAGCAGGGGAGGGGAAGCAGAAACACAAGGGCATGTATATTAGCTTTTGAAATAAACCTCTTAGCAACTGCCATTTATGTACTTCAGTTCACATCCCTAAACTATTCTAGAGTGCACAAATTGGACTCCAGTCAGATTGAACCAAGTCGGAAGATGTGTACAGGGAGGGCATCTAACATGCTCAAAACTACTAAATTGTGTTTGATCTATGGGAACAGACTACAGATAATCCAAAGTCAAACTTATGCAGACATTCACATGCCCTGTGAATTCACTCATGCTTGCTAATTCAAACATAGCCAATGCTTACTACAACCAAACGAGTGAAAGCAATCCCAAATAAATTAAGAATGAAAGCATCACATTCTTATTGGTGTGTGTCCTGCCCCCCCCACCTCTTTAGCTTCTTGAACTGACTCATCCAAGTGTAAAACAAGTGCCAATAAATTCAAGGGAAACATGAGGCCCACCAGGCTTGACAAAAAGTGGTAAGGAGTAAGAGCAACTGAATATTAGATTAGCTTAGCTGTAATACCATTCCATGCTTTGAGCCTGAAGACGAAACCAGCATCTTAGCTTTATTTTCAGTCACAGCCAGCATCTCATCACATCACACAACTTCATTGCAAACTGCTTCGCTCACAATTTGGGGTTCCATTTGTCCCACCATTGAGGGGCACCTCAGACTGGGAAGCACGGTCTTATGGTGGAATTTTTTAGTGTTTTATAGAAAGAGCATATACTAAAAATCCTTTTTGGCAACATATGAAGTCAAATCTAAGGGATTTACATTTCAGAATTAATTATTTCAAAATGAGGAACAAAACTTCTGTAAATTGGTTCCAGATACAAATTAAATATCTTTCAGTAGCTTTTTCAATGATATATAGACCCTTGTCAAATCTCCACCAACAGCAGAGGTTTAAATTCATACTTTGTAAATCAAGATAGATTTGCATACAGGAAGTGGTGTGGATGTATGTGTGTGTGTATATATATATTTTAGTCACACTTGCAAAGCTACACAATGATGTAATTTTTTTTAAATTAGAACCTTTCAGTTGACTGGAAGACAGACAGCAAGAGTCATGTTCTTTTTTTTCACTCTTCCGAGCAGTAACAAAACTACCTATTAGAGGAACAGATGCTGATGCCACAAATATCTTTTTACGACACTCATTTCCTTCTCCACAAGACACTTTCAGGACATCTACTATGAAGTTATAATGAATTATTAAGCACTCCTCCCATTTTAAAGGAATAAAAGGGGCGAAAAACAAGCTCAAAAAGAAATCCAGTGCCAAAAGTCCAAATCTTCAGATCCCTAAAGGCTTATTTATGTGCCTAACTCTGCATGTAATTCCATGGAATTCAACAAGATGACACACATACAAAATTCAATATTCAGGTCTTTGCAGGACTAGGATCTTCTTCAAAAGAGGATTTTATAATAATTTACAGGAAATCAATGCTTTTGTGAATCATAATGCTGTAAACAATCTCAAATAGATTTGTTTTAGAAAGACATAAGTCTTATTGTTTCCACTTTTTCTGCTTTACTTTCTGCATCAACACCAACTTCTGGTTTCCTGGCACAGTTTCAAGATTGCCCATATAGCATGACAGGTAAGCCAACACATTTTGTATTAATTAACTAACACTATACATCTGAACAAACTTCAAACCACTAATGTTTATCTAGAACATGAATTTTAATTCTACTTTTAATTGACAACGTTGGATGTCCATCATTTAATAATAAATATAACACCATATATTTACTGTACAAGTATAATTTTGTTTAGTTTTTACAAAAGGGTCATCAGTTTTATAATTGAACTTAAATTCTCACATTTTGATCACCTCTCAAAGAGCCAGTCAACTAGGAGTATAGCAAAGCACAAAACAGTACTTGGTCATTTTTGCCCTAATTAGTTTCCTGCCTGACTCTTATCTACCTGTTTTCACGTTCATACATCTCTTTTGAAGAGCTTCTTAGTTGCTCGATTTCTTGATTTGTTTTCAACCTTATTTGCTCCAACTCTTCATGCAGTCTCTTTTCATATTCTGTTTTATAGTGGTCTCTGTAAACAAACAAATACACAACACAAGAATTTAAAATTAATTGCACTGGCCAAAATATCAAAACTTCAGGTACAGCTGTACAAGTACAGCAGAGCACTTTTGATTTTACATTTTATTTTAATTCTTATTTTCCTCCCAAATTGCTTGAAATCCATATTAGCCTATGTTGTTATGCAAACTGAGTGAAAATCAATCAGGAATAAATAATATTTAATTGGGAATAAATAAAAGCTTTCTGCATACTGTTTTAACTTTTCTAAAGTAATTTGACATTGATTAACCACGCAACATTATGCTTAACATTCTTCCAGAAATTCTTTGTCAGCCCCTACATGAGTGTTTATATTAATTAACCACTTAAAAAAAAAAGTTAATTCCTTGCTTTCCAAAGTTTTCTAGCTTCTTCATCACTGAGTAAAGGTTGATTAACTTGCTAACTTACAATACTGCCATGCTACTACAAGACTTTGCTGTGTACTATTTACACCTCAAGAAGGAAAAACGCCACAAGAAACATTGAACTTCACATGCTGTGGAGATTTGTGAAGTCAGAAAACCCAAGATTTGGGAATTTATCCCATCAATGTGACATATAAATTAATTAAAATACATACTTAAGTTTTTAAGCAGCAGATATCAGAGATTCCAGGATAAAAGAATTTCATTTCAGAATAATATTGACATTTTTTTGTAACATTGGAAGCCCATAACAGATTGTAGGAATCCCATAAAGAATTTCTCCTACAAAACTACAAAAAAAGGCTTACATTGTAAGTACTTAACAGCTAAGGAATGTTAAAATTTTATAGCATCTAGTTAATGTTCAAGAACAATCAAGCAGCAGTGAAGCAACTGGTAGAAATTACAGGTTTGGAAATAAAAGCATGTTTATGAAGAAATGCATTTACAACCATAAAAGGTTTTAGATTTCTTCCAATTTCTAATCAGGTGACAGCCAATAATTTTTACAAGTCAGTACCTGAGCTGCCCAAAAACTCCTTCATATTAACAAAAAGCCTCAAAATATTTAAATGTCAGAATGTTTGCTGTCCAGGTTTTCTTGTTTTCTTTTTATTGAGACACTGAATTTCAGTTGACCCTTCAAGGTAAAAGTAAATTTATCTCCTCTCCTTCCTCAAGTGTGTCACACTACAGCAAAATACTTTATGCAGATCTTTGATACAATGAAGTTTATAATTAAAAAACCACAAACAAACAAACAAAAACCCCGAACAAAACCACACCGTACTGGAATGTAAGGTCCCCATTAGAAACTTTGTGTTCTTTATGTGTTATATGGCTCAATATGGGGGGGGGCAAAAAGAATGCTGAAGATCAGGACCTCAGTATACAATTCTTATGTGCAGAAACAACAAGCATTACCATTTTCCTGGTACTGAGACAATTTGCTATTACCATTACTACTTGCCAAAAAGAATTTTCTGTCACTGCAGAAATTACACCTTCCTTCCCATGGCAAGACTGCTAAAAGTCAGGAAGGTTCACTGAAAAAATTAGAAGAATCTGGAAAATTCTTAAACACCCACAGTGATGTCACCAGAAGACAGTTCAAAGTGACACTTATCTTTATGATGACTAAAATAAACAAACGGTACAGTAAAGGGCATATTCTGAGCATATAGCTTGACTGCCCTGCCAATGTCTTTTAATAAACACCAACAGAGTTGCTGCTGAAGCAAAGGACACATTTGAGATTTTTATTCCTGACCTGCTGTTATGGTCTTTTGCTTGACCAGTAAGTAAAAATGTTTTGCCTTATCAAGTTGTTTCGTGTTCTTCAGGCTGCAGGCTTTCATGAGCTTCTTTCCAGGCCTATCATTCATAAGGCTTTATACTGTGAATAAACTAATCGTGATCTGAGCATCTCAATGCAACTATGGATTGTGTTTTAAGATTAAACATATAAAGGGAAATCTTTTGTGCTGGTCTGTGCTTACACACAGATTCCCAAGAACTGTAGCTATGAGCTGCTGCCATTCATCTTGCCACAATCTCAACCTATTTTGAAGCGTGTCTTTTTTAAAATTTGGCAAGTTAATCCCTCAGTTTCCTAACGTCTGTAATTTTCTAACTACAGTACCCCAATGCCAGCAGTTCTGATGGTGATGAGAAGGTGAATTATTCTTTATTCCTAAAAATAGATACTTGGGTTTGTTTTCATCATCTTCATTCCTGAACTACAGCAACCAAAAGAGATCCAGATGTGAAGCAACCACTAAAAAGCCTCAAATTCTTCAAAAGGTAGCAAAGAGAAGCTTATTACCCAAACCGATGTCACCTCTAGGTAGCGCTGAGGACTGTAGAATGTCTATTAGTTGGCACAGTCTTCTCTTGCTCTACTTTTGTTCCTCTCTAATTTATCTAACAAATAAATAGGATTCTGTAGAGCTCTCTGTAAGAAACCGAATACCATACGTATTTGACCTGAGAGATGGATGGTTTAAATTGCTGAATAGACAGGAATCCCCACTATGGGATGCAGTCTCAGAACATGCACACAAAGTGGGTACATGCGCGTGGGAAAACGTAAAGAAGGGACTGCTTCTGCAGTATTGCGGTTCACATGCAGGTTTTAAAGCACTTTACAAAAGGATACTATTACCCCCATTTTACAAAAGAAATCTTCCATTAACATTTTTAGACTTTACATTTTACATTTTTACATTATGAAATGACTATTCAAAGTTCATGAGCAGGTCAGCAGCAGAACCTTCAATACAACCTAAGCTGCAGTGCAGTCCTACACACGCTGCTGAATACACTACACTGTCTTCTCTGCTATGCTATATTGTCCCTGAAAAAGACAATGGTCTCTAGAGGAGAACAGACATATCTGCATTACTCTTCACAGTTAATATCTGTCCTATGAAAATTAGCATCATGAAGAGAGTCACCAATACCAATGATGTCAAGAGAGATATTTGGAAACAGTACAGAATCCCAATGACAGTATCAAGATCTCTAAAGGCAAAGTAAGAGTCGCAGAATTTCTCTTTAGTTGGTATCAAAATGCAAGAGACAGAGACCTCTGATAATCCAGAGGACAGTAAAGCAGGCTTGCACAGTATCCCAAACTATGGTAGAGGCAAGCTACATAAGTCTCTTTCTAGGTTTCTCAAATGGAGACAGCTCTGTGAAAGTGCCTCTACATGATTATTACAGGATAAGGATTTCACAGTGGTTTTCTGGAAATAGAAACCTAGCTACAAGAGTCAGTGCTTACAAGCACATTTCTAGAGGAAGACTGCTCAATCCTACATTTTTTTTATAAACCCATTTAAAAGCAAGTCTTAAAAAATTATTTAAAATGCAGAAGCTCCAGGTGAACATAGTTCTGAGACAGACACATGTAAAACAAATTTCAAAAAAGTTTAAGTGACTGCATTGAAAGGAAAAATAGTATTAAAAACAAAACCACTTCTGACAAGCAATATGGGCTGGAACTCCATAGCTGATAATTCAGTAGAGTGCTCTTCTATTCCATTTAGATAACAATTTGTCTTTTAGTTGCATTACAGGAGAGTCATATTAGCACACTTCATCTTAGTTACACAAGAACACAAGATTTATAGATGCTCTTTGCAGTTCCATCTTCTTGATTCAAACAGAAGGAAGAGCTGAAGAGAAGCTGAACCTACCTCGAGCTGAAGAGAAGCTGAACCTACCTCATACTCAAGTTCATCCATTCAATCCACAGGTGTTTTTTTAAGGACACTACTAACCAAAAAAATGGTTTTATGTTCATTAATGAAGTACATACAGGCAAACCTTTGATGTGATTTTGGGATATATATTGAAATGGTATTTTTTGGCATCTAGATGTA